GGGATGCAGGGGGTTTGTAGGGTGCAGGAGGGATGTGGGATGCAGGGGGTTTGTGGGGTGCAGGCAGGGATGTGGGATGCAGGGGGTTTGTGGGGTGCAGGCAGGGATGTGCAGGTACAGGGAGGGATGCAGGGGGTTTGTAGGGTGCAGGAGGGATGTGGGATGCAGGGAGGGATGCAGGCTGGAGGGGATGTGGGAATACAGGGTTTTGGGGGTACAGTAGGGGCACAGGGGTATGCAGGGGGAGATGTGGGGTGCAGGAAAGGGGATGTAGGGGGTGCAGGAGGGGCTGCAGGCTGTACAGGGGTGCAGAGGGAGATGTGGGGGTTCACGAGGATGGAATCCAGGCTGGAGAAGGGTACACAGGGGGAAACTGCTGGACAATGGGTATAGGGGGAGATTTGGGAGTGCAGAGGGGATGCAGCCTGAACAGAAGGTGCAGGGGGGATACAGGGGTGCAAGGGGGATCCAGACTAGAAGAGAGATGCAGGGGAGGATGCAGGGGGTGATGTGGACTGGATGAGGGGTGCAGGGGATGATTCATGGGTGCAGGGGGGACAGAGGGTGGCTGGGGAGGGCAGAGGACATGTGGGGGTTACAGGGGGGATGTCAGGGAGCAGGATGGGGGTCTCAGAGGAGGATGCAGGGATGCTGGGGGGATGCAGGCTGGATGGGGGGTGCAGGGGGGATATGAGGGTGCAAGAGGATGCAGGCCAGAAGAGGGATGCAGGGGGGATGCAGGGGGTGATGCGGGCTGGATGGGGAGTGGAGGGGGGAGATACAGGGTGAGCAGGGGGTGTAAGGGGAGTTTTGGGGATGCAAGGGGGATGCTGGCCGGTCGGGGACCGCAGGGAACATGTGGAGGATGCAGGGGGGGATGTAAAGGCGCAGGATGGGGGTTGCAGAGGAGGATGTAGGGATGCGGGGGGATGCGGAGGGGATGCGGGGCGGACGCGGGGGGACCGCGGGGGGGCCGGCGGGCGCCGTGGAGCCGGGGGGGGGGGGGGGGGCCGGGGGCCCCCGGGGGGGGGGGAGGCGCGGGGTCGGGGGGGGAGGGGGGGGGGCTCGGGGGGGTCACGCACCTTCGTCCTCTCCCATAGGCTCGTCCCTCCAGGTGCAGCACAGCAGCATCAACCTCATGCAGCCGCGCTGCCCGGCGCCGCGCCGGGCCCTGCCGCTCCCGCGCCCCTGTCCCTCTGTCCCCGCCCGTGTCCCCCTGTCCCGGTCGGGCCCCCCCGGCCCTGCTGCGGCTCCGCGGGCGGGACCGCGGCGGGAGCACCGCGCCGGCGCGGCCGAGAGGGGCGGGGCCTGGGGGCGGGGGGCGGGGCCGCGGGGGGCAATGGGCGGGGCCTGAGGGACGCGGGCCGGGCGGGGCCCGGGGCGTGGTTTGGGTGCGGTCGGAGGGGGCGTGGTCGAGGTTGGGGCGTGGTCAGGTTGGACGGGCGTGGTCAGGAGCGTGGGCGGGGCTCGCGGGTGCGGGTTGGGGGCAGGGGGTGTCCGAGGGGTCCCGGACCTGCGGGCCGTCACTGTGGGCAGGGCACGGGTGTCCCCACCCACCGCTGGCCATCATGGATGTCCCCGCCCGCCATAGTGTCCCCAGCTACCCTGGTCCACCCGTCCCTGGCCGGCATGGGTGTCCCCAAATACCCCGGGCCAGTCCCATGGGCAGGGTATGGGTGTCCCCCCACCCACCCCTGACCATCATGGGTGTCCCCACCCGCTGTGGTGTCCCCAACTACTTCCAGCCAGGTGTCCCCACCCACCCTTGGCCATCAGAGGTGTCCCCATATGCCATGGTGTCCCTGACTACCCCCAGCCAGCTCCATGGGGAGGGCACGGGTGTCCTCACGCATCCCTGGCCGTCATGAGTGTCCCCAGCTACCCCAGGCCACCCCCCTGGGCAAGGCACATGTGTCCCACCTGCCATGGTGTCCCCAGTTACCCTGGGACAGGGTAAAGGTGTTCCCCCCCACCCATCCCTGATCAATACAGGTGTCCCCACACACCCCAGCTGTCACTGTGATCAGGGCACGGGTGTCCCCATCTACCCTGGGCTGTCACTGTGGGGTGTGACACAGGTGTCCCTCTCATTCACCGTGTTGTCACCGTGGGACAGGGCATGGACGTCCCCCTGCGCCCCCAGGCCACCACCACGGGGCAGGGCACAGACCTCATGCTGTGTCCGTGGGTTGGCACCGCGGGGCAAGGCGTGGATGTCCCTTTTATTCCATGTACTGTCACCCTGGGATAGTACCTGGGTGTATTTGCCATGCCCTGGGCTGGCACCATGGCCATCCCCTTTGGTCCTCAGGCTGTGATCCTAGGGAAGGTAGGGGCCTCCTCCTGAGTTCCCAGACATCCTCCCAGTCCTCCTGAGTTCTCTGAGCATCCTCCTTGTCCCCCAGGCCGTTGCCCTAAGACAAGGCATAGGTGTTCCACTCACCCCCAGGACAGGGCATGGACCTCCCCCTGGGTCCCTGGCGGACCTATCACTGTGGGATAGGCCATGGCCACCCCAACCATCCCCGGGGCTGGCACTGGGGGACAGGGCAGGGGCAGCCCCGGGGTGCCCAGGCTGTCCCCTCACCTCGTGGCCCAGAGCTGTGACAATACAGTGCCATGCCAAGGACCCAGCGTGTCCCCAGGCTTGTGCAGAGCCATGGGCTGGATTCCTCCATCATTGCCACCACCCCGGGGAGGGGGACACGGACACAGGACAGAGTCAGAATCCTTTAAAAACTTGTCCTTTATTAGTCTGTCAGAAGCGAGTCCCTCTGTATAAGGGCGTCCCACCCAGTTATAGCAAAGTGAGCAACACGAAGGGACCGATCCCCTCCTGCCCGCGGCCCCCCCAGACCGGGGGGATCGCGGGGACCGACGGGGCCATCCCTCCCCGTGCAGCCCCCGCCGCCGGCATCCCCTTCCCTCCCTCCCTTCCTCCAATGTGGGGTACCCCTCATCCTGCCCCCCCCCCCCCCCGGGGGGTCAGCTCTGGGGCTGGGGAGGGGTGCGACACCCCGAGCCCCCCCCAAAATCCCGCAGAGAGCGATAGCACCAAGGGGGACGGCTGCTCCCCGCAGTTTATTCCGCGCTCCCTGCCGGGACCGAGGGGCTGGGGGGCGACCGATGCTGCCGGAGGTGCGGGATCCCTCCTGGGAACGCGGGGCCGGGGATGGCCCCGGGATGGACGGGGGGTTTTTGGGGAAGGGGGGAGCGTCTCAGCTTTGCTCGGGATTTACATTCTGGACCATGCAGTAGCACCAAAGTTCATGAGGTCAGCGGTGACGGCCGCGGTTACTTCCGCCTCCTCCCGCAGTACTTCCCTGCTGCGCAGCCCACGCCGCCTGCCATGGGGGGGGGGGGATGCACGGGGTGAGCCCCCCCTGCACCCCCAGACCCCTGGGGGGGTGTGGGAGAAGGACAGGGGGTGCAGGAGCCGGTCCCAGCACCAGCGCTCACCTCTAAAGCCCAGGGCACCGAGGGCTCCTCCGTAGGCCTTGGGGGGCTTCCCTGCAGGGGAAGGGGGGAGCTGGGTCAGCGGGACCCCCCGCGGCTGCGGGGTGCAGGGAGGATGCGCACCCATCCCCCCCCCAAAAAAAACCGCCCCTCGCGGGGGGGATGGACACTCACCAGCAAATCCCAGCGGGGCACCGACCCCACCTGGAAGGAGAACAAAGCCCTCAGCACCCACTGGGCACCCACATCGCCCTGCCCTGCACCCCCCCGTTGAGCCCCTCCGGCTCAGCAGAGCCCCCGGGGTCCCTCCCCAGGCCGTGGCCGTGTCCCTGTGCTCCGTGGGCTTTGCGTATCCCCAGGAGCCGGGCAGGCACCGGGATGTGCCCGGGGTGTGTGCTGGGGGTGGTACCTGGAAATATCGGTGACACGCCGAAGCCGGGAACTCCAACCCCTGGGGAAAAAGCGACAGCCAGTGACAGCCAGTGACAGCCAGTGACAGCAGTGCCACCCCAGCCTGGGCTGGGGACACCCTGGCTGGGTTCTCAGTCCCTGTCCCTGTCCCTGTCCCTGCCATGGCACCCATGTGGCTTCCCAGTGCTCATCAGGGAGTGGCAGCAGGGTGAGGACAGCAAGTGGGGACAAGTGTGGCGTGGTGGGGGACATGCTCCCACCCCAGCCCCAAACCACAGCACTCACCTAGACCAGCACCAAAACCTGCAATGGGAGAGCCCCAGTGAGGGTGGGGAGTGTGGGATGGGGACAGGGATGGGGACAGGGACTGGAGTCACCCCTCCAGCCCCTCTGGCTGCTCCTTACCCGCCTTGGGAGGTTTCCCAGCAGCTCCTGGATATAAGAGTCCTGTATCAGAGAGGGGCAGCAGCACAGCCCCTGCCCCAACTTTGCTGCCCCCAGGGCTGCAGCCAGACCCTTCTACAGGCCCAGAGGGTCCCCAGGAGGGACCTGCAGCTCCACATGTGGGGGACGTGGTACGGGACTATCCCCTGTTCCCATGGCACAGGCAACAGCAATGTTATGGCCTTCAGTCCCTGCTCAGCAGTGGCATTCCCTTTGGATCACACCCTGGGAGCAGGGCAGGTGGCAGGCACAGGATGGGGCACAGGGGGACAGTGTGGGGTGGGACAAAAGTGACCCTGCATCTCTTTCATCCCATAGACCCCTTTCCTTTTGGGCACTCTGCTGGCACACAGCTGCCACTCCCTGCAGCCCAGCCCTGGAAGCCCCAATGCCAGGGCCAGCATCACTCACCAACACCAAGCCCAGGGACTCCGAGGCCACCAACTCCAAGGCCACCTGTGATGGGGGAGCATCAGTGAGGACAGGCAGTGTCTGATCCACTCCTTGTCCAGCCCCAAGTGTGCCCATCCTTTCTTGGGCAGCCCCACTCTCTCCATGCCCAGGGGGAGCATCCCTCTGTCCATATCCGTCTGGGGGAGCATCCCTCCACCTGCATCCCTCTGGGAAAGCATCCTGCTGCCCACATCCCTCTGGGGGAGCATCCCTCTGCCTGCGCATCCCCACTGCTTAGGCTTGGCCCCTGCCAGCACTTACCTGGGAGGCCACCGACTCCTGGCACTCCAGCTCCAGGCACACCTGCCAGAGAGGGAACATTAATGCCTGTCCCCCTGCAACCCAGCACCCCCAGTTCAGAGCACTCCCAGCCAGGTGGCCCTGGCACCCATCCTGGGTGTCCCCAGCACCTGTGACACACACAGGAGAAAAACGTCCCCAGCGTGTCTAAGATGGGGGGACAGGTGGCACTTTGCACTCATGGGTGACAGCACACCACCTCCCATGCCTGGGCCACCAGGGCACAAGGGGACATGCAGGGGACACAAAGTCAGAACCCTGATGGCCACACGAGGAGGGTGCCTGGGGACAGTTGGAGATGGACCTGGGGCAGGGTGGCAGAGACACTTACCAAATTTGGGAGGTTTAGCACCTACTTGGGGGATGCCTGCCAAGTGAAGGAGGACACAACACTTAGGATGGTCACCCCTGCACCCCCTCCCATGTGCCACCATCCCCCATCCCGCCTGCATCCCCCTCTGCCACCCCTCTGCCTGGCTCGGTGGCTTTCAGCGTTCCCAGCCACCGCTGCCCCCAAGCAGGGCCCCAGGCAGGGTGTGACAAAGCACATACCTGCCCCAGGGAGGACACCAGCTCCAGGTACTCCCACACCTGGCACCAACCCGGGCACGCCAACACCGGGCACACCAACACCAGGCACACCAACACCTGGCACCGCGTCGGGCACGCCAACACCGGGCACGCCAACACCGGGCACCCCTCCGACCCCGGCTCCTGCGGAGAGAGGGTGAGGCAGCACGGGGTGATCCCTGTGTGATCCCCATTCCTGCATGGGGTGATGTGCCTGGCAAGGGTGCCCACCCCCACCACTCCCCAGCGTCCCCTGCCCCAGTCTGTGCCCGTGCAGGTGCCCCCAGGTGTGAGTGATGGGTTTCTCTGGCCGACTCACCAAATTTCGCTGCCTTTGCTGCTGCTTTCGCTGCTGCGCCCGGAACTCCAACCCCTGCATGGAGACAGCAGGAGGGTCTCAGCGCCCCTGGAGGGTCCCCTCAGCAAACCTGGGCAGAGCCTTGTCTGCAGCCTCCCAGGGGGAACCATGAGTTGATGGAGACAACCGAAGTTCACCTCATGCCTGCCCTGCACCAGGACTGTCCCTGCACCAGCCAGGCTGCCACCAGTATCCACCTCCCTCCTCCTCACCTGGGACGCCTCCAACACCAGGGACGCCTCCAACACCAGGGACCAGGCCACCCACACCGGGAACAAGGCCACCTACACCGGGAACAAGGCCACCTACACCGGGAACTGCTCCTGCAAGGAGAGAGGGAATTGGGGGATTGGGCCTTCGGCTCAGGGAGAGAAGGGGTGGGAGGAGCGGGCTGAGAAGGCAGGCTGGGGTGGGCAGTTAGAGGATGGATGGATGAATGGACTGATAGTGAAATGGATATGTAGATGTATGGATGGATGCTGAGATGGATGCATGGATGGATGGATGGATGGTGAGTGGTTGAATGAATAGTGAGCTTGCTGGATGGATAGTGAGATTGATGAATGGATGGATGGTGAGAGGGATGAATGGTTGAAC